TTTTTGATGAAATCAGAGAGCTTTTTGGGCCTTGAACGTGACAGTTGCGTTGCTGTCTATACATGGTCAGAAAGCTCTCTGATTTCATCAAAAATATCTTAATTTGTGTTCCAAAGAAGAACAAAGGTTTTATGGGTTTGGAACAAAATGAGGGTGAGTAATTAATGACAGAATTTTCATTTTTGGGTGAACTATCCCTTTAAAGAGCTGCAAACTCTTGTGAAGGAGCGTAAAACTAGTTTTTACATTATCTGGGTGACTGCACATTCAACTCCCTAGCTGCTGAGATTTGGGAAGGGGTAGACTGCTAACTCAGCCAAGAAAGCCAGAATCCTGCAAATGAAACCTAATGCTGTGGTCTAATTAATTTTATAATGCATGTTATGATATCTCCAAATCTATTTGCGTTGCTGCTATGCAACCGAGTACAGAAAAAGGTTATGACAATGCAATACTGCTAAATGAATCAAAAGCCCCGCCGTTGTGTCCGAACCAGCCTCAACAGGAGATTGTTATTGTGCAGAATTTTTGCTTTTAGTGGGGACAGACAAAATACTATCCCATAGCAACCGGTTAGGACAACATGTGCTCGTGACAAGAAAATCATAACCTTGCTAGAGAAAACAAAGTTCACACTGACAGAAGAAAAACCTTGAAAAGATAAACTATCAGTACACACATAAACTGAAAAAAAAAAATAATAAAAAATGTTTTGTCCCCTTGGTCCACCTCTACACTATATGCCTACATTTGCTCTGCTCAGTGATGTTATTGTTTACTAAAATTAAAATTATTACTATTATTTTTTTGCTAAATCAAATGAAGCAAAAATAAACATTACATGAAAAAATTAGAAACGCTGGCAACTAACTGAAATAAAAATAAATTAAAGCTACATAGAAATAACTTAAAAAGCCAAAAAAATGACAACACTGAAGCTTAAACTAAAATTAAAATGAAAACCTACAATGTACAGAAAAGATCATTCAAAATATTCATAAATACAATACCAGTATATCAATTGTAGTATTATTTATATACTATCAGTATTCATTATGATATTCATATTTTAATTGGATTTTTTTTTGTACATTTTAAGTTTTTGGCTCTACTTTTTCAACTAGTTTGGACACACCTGTTGGAAAAAAATGGTTTATGAATAAACTTAATATGTGTAATATGTTGTAATTTTCCACCCTGGATCATTAAGTTGAAAGACATCTGAAAGGAGGAAAGGTAATGATTGATGATTCTGACCAGGCTCTGCTGTTGAGTCAAGCTGTTTTTTTTTGTTCTGATGTACATCTTCTGTAACAACATCCAGCTTATCAACAGTTACACTGTCAGTGCGCTTCCTTCATACCCAAGCATTTTTTGGCATGACCCTGACTGAAAAGGAGTACATTTCCAAAGCTGGTAGCTCTGCTGGGAGGAATTAGTCTGTTAATATTTCAAATCAGTGACATGGAATATGGCAGACATAGCCATTTCTTCCACAGGAAGATCCCATGCCTACAGGAATGGAGTGGACCATCCCTTCCGATTTGGCAGTTTCACATGGGGAAGCTTTATTGTCACCTGCAATAGTGTGGTTTGTCTTTTCAACAACTTATAGATCTCTATCCAGAATTGTCGTAAGTTCAGACTGGGACTAGCCAACTCAATAAAGGTCTAAGAAAGATAACATCTACAGTAAAAGACACACGAGACAGTGTCACTGAGAGCAGGACAATAACAGCAGTGAAACTGGGCTCGGTATTACAGCTGTGATTATATTGTTGCAGAGGGACAGATCTGAGGGTTAATATCAGGAGGCCCTGTGATTTCACAGCACGTCTGGTGTAGACTGGTGCTGGAACTTCATTGGCATAATAAGCTGCAGGTGTTAAAAGTAGTTTGGCAGTATCTACAATACCTCCATATGGACATTTACGCAGGAAGCTATAACCAAAGCCATCTTCTGTAGCAACTGTTCATGGGGAGAGAAAAATACAAAGATGTCAAATTACAGTAACACAGGAAAAAAGAATTAGAAATGTCTCAGATTCTTCCTTGAATGACAGAAGTGAAAGTTTAGGTAGTTTATGGCACTAGAAAGCAAAACAGTCTGGTATGAACTGATGAAAAAACAAAAGGGAGATATGAATAAAAGAACATGAAAAAAAGGAAATGGTTTTGGTTGACGCTGTGCTGCGTTTGCACTCTGCAACATCCTGAAATGATGAAGATGCTAACAAGGATGTTAATGAAAGAACATGCACAATCAAAACCATAATCATAAAATGAATCATTCTGATGGATTAAAAAATTATATCTTGCAATTAAGTTAGGATGTTGATTCAGTAACTGCTCTAAATAATTCAGTTTAGTGAATGATTTGCCAGACTGATTCAAACTGGTAACTCAACCTTTTTAATTTTTCACTAAAAAATCCTACTATTGGTCATGCTGTGTTTTTGATTCACAAAAAAGGAACTTGTAAGATTTAGCCTATCGTAGTTGTGCTGGATGTTACTGATTCACTGAAAATAACCAGCTCATAAGAGTTATTTGTTTGTGAATCAGACTACACTGGTTGTGCTGGATGTTATCAATTCACTGAAGAAGAAAAAAAAAAACAGCTCAGGAGAATCATCTATTTATGAATCATATTACACTGGTTGTGCTGAATTTTACTGGTTCACTGAAAAGAATTAGCTCATAAGAGTAATTTTTGAATCAGACTACACTGGCCACATTGTATGTTTCGTCTTGCACACAGTGCAAATTAATACTTATTTTCAGATCTTAAAATGTCTATTTACACCAACTCTGATATGACTAAATAACAAATACAAAATATTCACACCAAGATTAATGCAGAATTTTCATCATTCAAAAATCAAGTCAATAGGTTATAAAAATGCTCGTCAAAAGCACTAACAGTTACGACTTTTTCATTTCAATGAAATATAGCTACAAGGTGTTTCAACATAATGTTGCAATCTGAGCCAAACCTTTTTCCAATTAAAAGCAAACAGCAGCAGGTATGTGGTTTTGAGCTTTATGTGGTTCAGAGCCAAGGCGTTATTTAACACAGCATGCTACTACAACAAAACTCTAATGCCATTAAATGAACCTTAACCACAAACAGTGATTTAAATGACCACTGCTCTACAAACCTACACCGGATCCACGATCATCTGTTACACAGTCAGCTGAACATATAATACAACAGAACAACTCCAGTGATTGGATTTGGCAGACAGTATTTCCTGGAGGAAATAAGGTCTATTTCACAGCACCTGACAGTGGTGAAGGTATAGGAGAGCTGGGTATGATAAAGCCACTCTTGGGAGCAGCAATGGCACGCGGTCAATAGAGCCTTACAGCTGCACGCTCAGAAACATGCTGCACTGCCAAACACTTGATAACGGAGTAGACCAGAGAGAAAGGGATGATGGGTCCTGCAGAATTACAGCGATGAAAAGTTGAATGATAAAGCTAATGGTCATTCTCTACTAATGACTCTCTATGCAGAGGTGTAACTAGGATCATATCGTCCCATATATATGATGTTGTGTTGATGTTTGTCAGACAAAGCAGTTTATAAGCAAATGCTTTCTGTGAGATGCTAACGGATGCATGAAAAAGTGCTGATGGGTGTCACACTGTGTAGATGTTATTAATGGAGTGATCTGGGTGGGGGAACCGTCTCTCAGTGTTGGTGATGATCTAAACACTACAGCTTCAGATCGGTCCAGTTACTGCAGTGATACTGTAGGACAGGTAATGCAGTTAAGCTCACCTAGCCAAATTATGATTATATATAAAATACAGTATTCAGCCTGGTAGATAATGCAGCTTATTTTAGTCAAGAATCATCCACGCCGTCCATCTGACA